TTTTTTTTTAAGTTTATTTCTTGAGAGAGAGACAGAGAAAAAAAGACAAATACCCTCAACAGAATCTCATTCTGTGATCCTCTCACCACCTTTCTAGTCAGCCAGGATCATGGGGATATGCATATATACCTTGTATGTACAGGTTAACCAGGGAACTGAGCCCTGATCTTCCACAGGGCCTCCAGCATTGCAGAGCATTATGCTATTCCTGCACCACCACAGCTATACCTAAAGTATTAGGTATAAGTTCAAAGAAGTAAAAATAATTTAATGGGGAATGATTGAATACAGTAAGGTATATTTATATAATAAATTATTTATAATTCCAAAGAATGACACAGGAAAATGCTTGCAACATAATAAGTAGAAATTGTGAGAAATATATTTCACAGAACTTGACATTCTCTGATTCTGTTTTTTCTTTTCCATCTTTTTTATTACATTTCACCACTGTACATTGTTAAAGCATACAGAATAATTTTTCCCAGCATGAATACAGTGCATGTTACTCAAGTCAGAGATATTACTAGATACATTATCATCAGCAGATAACATCATTTTGTGTTTGTTAAATGTGTTTTTTCCTGATCTTCTTTAACTCCCTGTCACCCTCCCCATACTACCTCTGGCACCTACAGTTGCCCTCCCTGCTATTAAAACTTCCAGTCTTTCAGTTCCTCCCATAGAGTATATACATTCAATATATATTCAGCAGGGACTATAATTCCTGATTTTGATTAAAAAAAATTATATGAGCAGCCCAGTCACTGTAGCTCAGGCTATTGCATATGGCTACACAATACTGGAGCCACATGTGAGGCCTGAGTTCAGACCCCAGCCTAACCTGAACACTCTTGGTGAGCCCAGACTTGCCTGCAATCCTGCTTGGCAGGTAACCATAGGAGAGAATTATAGCATGGTGACACCCTGTCAGAGATGTCCATCTGTCTGTCTATATCACTCAAGAAAGAAAGTTAAGTAAAACATATGGAAGAAAACTCATTAGAATTAGACTTATGTATCATTATGTCTGTTATGAAATTAATGGTGGTTTTTGTTTTTTATATATTCTGGTTTCCAAATTTTCTGCAGTACTAAATGAGGGGAAAATTAAGTTATTATTATTTTTAATTGATACACCAATTTGAACACACACACACACACACACACATAGGTTTTTGCCTTAGGGTATGTGCATTTGCTGGAGAGAGAGAGAGAGACAGAGACAGTGAGAGAGAAAGTGAGAAATGACCCCCCAGAGGGAATGACCATGCCCCAATCCCTTCTCCTCCTGGGATCTTGGACATGCACGCACACATACCCAGCATGAATTTCAAGCCACTGAGTCTAGGACTCGAATTACGGTTGGCCATGTGAGAGTCCAGTTACATAACCACTATGTCATCTGCTGGCCCCTAATTGTTCATATTTATGGATTCAGTGTAGTTTTTAGTGCATGAATACAATGTGTTATGATCAAATCAGGATAATTTCCATATCCTTCACCTCAAACATTTGTTTTGGGAGAATTTAAAATCCTGTTTTCTAGCTATCTTAAACTATACAGTAAATTAACTACTCATCCTGCTGTGCTAAAGAACACTAGAGCTTAATTCTCATATCTAATTGTAATTATGTGTTCATTAACCAACATCTTACTCCCCTCTGCCTAATCTTCTCAGCCTCTAGTAATCACTATTCTATTCTGCTACTATGAAGTCAAGTTTTTCACATGAGTGAGAATATTTGGAATTTTATCTATTTATTCTTGGCTTATTTCACTTAACATAATGTCCTACATACATTTCCATGTTGCCTTGAATAATAGGATTTCATTCTTTTTTATGGTAGAATAGTATTCCATTGTGCATATATGCCACATTTTCTTTATCTATTCAACTGTTGATGAACCCTTAGGTTGACTCTGCATTTTGGCTATTGTGAATAAAGCAGCAATAAATATTAGGGTACAGGAATCTTTACAAGATACTAATTTTCTTTCCTTTGTATATATACTTAGTAGTGAGATTTCTGGATTATAAGGCAGTTCTGTTTTTATTTTTTTGAGGCACCACCATACTGTTCTCTATAATGGCTATACTAATTTACATTCCCGTTAACATTATATAAGAGTGTGCTTTTTCAGGGCTAGTGGTGTGGTGGTTAAGGTGCTAGAATCCCACAGGGCCGATCATGGTTCTAGTCCTGGACCTGGTGGCTTACTTTCCCACTTTCCCTCTGTCTCTTTCTCTCCAGTGAACACACGTGCCCTTTAGCAAATTTAAAAACTAATACTAAATTAAATTTTTAAAAAAGAGTGCCCCTTGCTCCATATCCTCACCGGGATGTTATTTCTTGTCTTTTTGGTAATAACCATTTTAAACTAGAGTGAGATGATAATCTCCTGGTGGTTGTGAGTTGTATTTCCCTGACAATCAAGTGATGTTGAAAATTTTTCCATATGTTTCTTGGCCGTTTGTATGTCTTCTTTTGAGAGTTGTCTATTTAAATCATTTTTGTTGTTTTTTTTTGTTATAGGGCATATGCACTTAAATGAGACGGGGTGGGGGGGCAGGGGGAGTGAGAAACACCCCTTAGAGTGATAACCATGCCCTAATCCCTATTCCTCCATTCTCCTTCTGGGATTTTGGGCACACATGCACACATGTCTGGCAAGTTTTTCAAGCCACAAGATCTAGGACTCAGACTGGCATCTAGCCTCCATAACCTCTACACCATCTGCTCCATTTGCTCTTGCCATAGGGCACGTGCACTTGCCAGAGAAAGAGAGATTGAAAGTGAGAAATCACTGTCCCCCTGACAGTGTGGATAGCCATTCTGGAATCTATTCCTCCATTCTCCTCTTGGGTTTTTGGGCACACATGCACTCATGCCTGGCATGGTTTTCAAGCCACCAGGTCTAGGACTCAAACTACAGTCAGCCATATGGGAATCCAGTGCCTTAACCACCATGCCACCTGCTGGCTGGCCCCAGCCCATTTGCTCATTTAAAAAAGTCAGATAATGGGACCAGCCGATGGCATAATGGTTACATCTCTAGACTCCCACATGGCTGATGGCAGTTTGAGTATCGGACCCAGAGGCTTGAAATTCATGCCGGATGCATGTAAGTGTGTGGATGCCCAAAATCCCAAGAGAAGACAGGAGAAGGGATTACAGTTTGGCCACCTCCCCATGAGGGATTTCTCACTTTCTATCTCTCTGTCTCTCTGGTAAGTGCACACGCCCTCTAGGAAAAATCTCTCTCTAAAAAAATCAGATTTTTTTTTCTGCTGAATTGTTTAAGTTCTTTTTATAGAATGCTTTTATTTTTTTAATTACCAGTGGGTTTGTGCACTGGCCAGAAAGAGACAGACAGGGAGAGAAAGCACTTCCCAGTGTGATGTGGTCACACCACAGTTCTTTCTCCTCCGTTTCTCTATCTCATTAGGATGCATGTATGCACACACACGTACACACCCAGAGTAAGTTCCCAGGGCCAGAATTTGAACCATAGGCAGCCATGTGGGATTTAACTCCCTTACCCATTAGACCTCAGCACCAGCCCTACCCTGTTGTTATTTTTTTTTTTTAGAGACTTTTCCCTTAAGGCTCATGTGCTTAAGAGAGAGCAAGAGAAAGACAGAGAGACAGAGAGTGAGAGGTGAAGTGAGAAATCACCCCCCATGGGAATGTAATAACAATTTAAAGTGGCAAAAAGTAAAAAAAAAAAAAAAAAAAAAGAAGGAAAAGAAAAAAACAGAATCAGAGAATGTCAAGTTCTGTGAAATATATTTCTCACAATTTCTACTTATTATGTTGCAAGCATTTTCCTGTGTCATTCTTTGGAATTATAAATAATTTATTATATAAATATACCTTACTGTATTCAATCATTCCCCATTAAATTATTTTTACTTCTTTGAACTTATACCTAATACTTTAGGTATAGCTGTGGTGGTGCAGGAATAGCATAATGCTCTGCAATGCTGGAGGCCCTGTGGAAGATCAGGGCTCAGTTCCCTGGTTAACCTGTACATACAAGGTATATATGCATATCCCCATGATCCTGGCTGACTAGAAAGGTGGTGAGAGGATCACAGAATGAGATTCTGTTGAGGGTATTTGTCTTTTTTTCTCTGTCTCTCTCTCAAGAAATAAACTTAAAAAAAAAGAATAAATATTTTTAATCATTATATATTGTATTCTTGTGAGTGTATTGAGAAGTCACATTGTAAGAATTGTTACGTGTGGGGCTAGCAGGTAGCTCAGTGGTTAAGGCACTGGAATCCCACATGGCTGATCATAGTTCAAATCCCAGACCAGGCAGCATGGCCATCTTCCCTGGGGGTTGATTTCTCACTTTCCCTCTCAATGTCTCTGGTGAATGCATGTGTCTATGGCAAAAACCTTAATTAAAAATAATTGTTAAGTGAACAAAAAATTTTAAATATTAATTTTTTAAATATTAAAAATATTACTTCAATAAGCATCCTTGAGAAGGATTTTTCACCCACCAAAAAAGGTTCCATTCTTATTCTTCTCAAGTCTAATCTTAACATAACCAATACTACTAGGTTGTCAGGAAAGTCATGACATAGCTTTCTATGCAAAAATGCCTCATGACTTCCCAGACAACCCAATATTACAATAGTAATACTGCATAACAAATAAACGATGTCTAGACCCTCATTATTCAGGATATATTCACCTAAAAATTCCAACACAATAAAAAGGTATACAGTCTTTTAGGGTTCACCCTAATGAGCCCTGATCTTTATGTCTACCTTAAATCACAGCATATTAGTGACAAAACTTAACAGTGTAAAATAACGCAACCAATAGCTCATGCTTTATCATCAGGGGCATGTGGTAGTTTCCTCTTCACAAAGATTACAATTCTGTTTATGAGCTTAATACTGAGGTCTCAGTCAATACCAGCCTGGAGTCTAAAGATAACTGGGAATTGGGACCAGCAGTTAGCCTAATGGCTACATCGCTGGACTCCCATGTAGTTGACTGTGGTTCGAGTTCCGGACCTGGTGGCTTAAACTCACCCCAGGCACATGGGCGTGCGTGTGCCCAAGATCCCAAGAGGAGAATGGAGGAGAAGGGATTGCGGCATGGCCATTGCCCCTGGGGGGTGATTTCTCACTTTCTATCTCTCTGTCTCTCTCTGTCTCTCTAGTGAGCGGATGCACCCTATAGCAAAAAAACCTCTCCAAATAAATAAATAAATAAATAGATAGATAGATAGATAGATAGATAGATAGATAATTGGGAATTTATCAATGCTACCAAGTACTTACATCGTCTTTGTCATTGACTGGCACTCCAAGTTGCAGCAAGAATTCGACAATTTCTGTATGCCCAGCTGAGCAAGCCCAATGCAATGCAGTTCTGCTATCCTACATGCAAGGAGAGAAGTAATATGATCAATGGTCTTGAAGAAAAATAGAAGGCAAAAAGCAGAAAAAAAACCCCACTAATATCAGTGTTGGCAAATCTAAAATTTGAAAACAAGAAATGAAGAGCACTGGATCCTCAGGTGGGTAACCTTAAACCATATTACTTAATGGTGTATATAAGAGAGGTTTTAGTAACATGGGGAGAATAACATGGACAAACATAAGTAATTCTGGGGCTGGCCATGCAACACAGTGGTTAAGCCTATACATAGAAAGTTGGATCCCAAATGGCTGAACAGGGTATGAATTCCATCCCATCAGCTTAAAAAACACTCCAGGGGGGCCAGTAGATTATGTAGTCGTTACACTGCTGGACTCCCACATGGCCCACAGCGGTTTGAATCCTGGATCTCATGTCTTGAAAATCATGACATGCATTGTGTGTGTGCATGCCGAAGATCCCAGGAGGAGAATGGAGGGAAAGGGACTGTGGCATGGTCATCCCCCTGGGGTGTGATTTCTTACTTCCCTCTCACTGTCTGTTTCTCTCTTTGGTGAGTACATGCACCCTATGGCAAAAACCTCTTAAAAAATCAAAAACCAGAAACACTCAGGTACATGTGCATATGTGTCCAAAATTCAGATAGGAAGGAGAAATAAAGGAAAGTAATTGTGGTGTGACCACAGCTCAGTGGTGTGTGTGTGTGTGTGTGTGTGTGTGTGTGTGCGCTTTTTCTCTCCTTCTCTGGTGAATACATGCAGATTAAAAAGAAAGAATAACTTCAGTAAATCTGAACAGAATATAATAATAAAAACAGTAGAACAAGAAACTGATTTTGGCAGACATATAGCTTTGGCTATTTACTATATTACTTACGTACTTTTATGTTATATACTAGTCTAGAAGTTTTATGTGCATCATCTCATTTAATCTTACACAGTGGCCATAATCCCATTTTACAGATGTGGACGCTAAGACTCCTCAGGGCAAGTAATTTGTCCAAGGTCACACAGTAAATGATGAAGCTGGGACATTAACTCCAGTCAGTCTGACACTGAAATCCTTACTACCATACTGACCTGAAGTAAGATACCCTAGAAAGAAAACTTTTAAAAGCAGCCAATCTGGGTCACTGCAGAAAAAGTTAACAATTCCAAGCATGAGAAGGATTAAATTCACTTTCACCAGCCTAAAGATGGAGAGAATCATGTGTCAAGAAATGTGGGTGGCACTGCGGCCATTAGGAACCGTGGTGGTTGAGGGCTCTGGACTCTCACATGGCCAACCACAGTTCAAGTCCCAGACCTGGCAGCTTGCTTTCTCACTTTCTCTCTCTATCTAGTAAGAGAATGTGCCCTATAGCAAATTAAATAATAATAATAATAATGATAATAAATAAAGTTAAGTAAGTGGGGTCAGCAGGTGGCGTGGTGGTAGAAGTGCTGGATTCCCACATGGCTGATTGCAGTTCAAATCCTGTACCTGGTGGCTTGAAAATCCCAGCAGGCAAGTGGGGAAGTAGTGGCACCCTTTCCCTTCTTTCTCTCTCTGTCTCTCTGGTCAAATTAAAAAATAAGAACAAATGGAATTAAATAAATAAATGATTCTTTTAAAAAATAAATAAGTGATTCTAAAATAATAATAATAATAAGCTACTGGGACAGCCAGCGGCATGGTGGTTAAGGCAGCTAGATCTCACATGGTTGTCTGTGTTTGGTTTGAATCTCAGACCTGGTGGCTTGAAAACACGCTAGGAACATGTGCATGTATGCCCCAAATCCTAAAAGGTGAAATGGAGTAGAAGGGGTTGTAGGATGATTATTGCCCATGGAGGGTGCTTTCTCATTTTCTCTGTCTGTCTCTGCTGAGAGCACATATCCTCTAGCAAATTAAATAATAATAATAAGCCTATTAAAGAACTGAAATCTCTAAATTTCACCAGGTCCTTCAAAAGCAGCTGTAATACCCACACGAAAATATATACACCTTTGAGAGTTACACATTTATCTTTGCATGAATAAGCTGCTCAATAAACATTCATCAATTGTCCTATATGCTTAACATCTTAAAAAACAAACTATAAAAACATAAAAGAGCTTTTAACCTTTCCTATGATAGATACTCCATCTTTTTATTTTAAAAGTCTTTCACCTTGCAATAATAAAATCTTTATCTGGCAAAAAAAAAGCTAAAATGTTTCTCTAAGGGAATCCCTATTTGTTGTATTTCTTGGTCTGGCCCATATATAATAAAATGGTATTTTAAAACTTCATAAAAATAAATTTCAAGTAGCATATAATAGAAACCTACGTGCCTATTGCCTAAACTTAATAATTAATATTTTACCATATTTTTCATCTCATTTTTTTGTTGCTTAAGTTTTTAAAAACTAATCCTAAATAATCATGACTTTTCATCTCTTAAATATTTCAGTACCTAAAAAATAAGGGCACTTTCTCTCAGATAACTATGAGAACGTGATTACACTTATTAAAATTAATATTGACTTCTTTATATCATTTAATACCAAGTCTATAGTCACTCCAATTGCTCTACCTATCTTTTGGCAGTTGGTTTAACCTGGGATATACACAAGGTCCATAAATTGCCTGTGGTTGTTTCTTAAGTTTCTTGATCCCCAAAAGTCCTGCCCTTTTTATGCCATTGACTTGAATGACAAATTACATTTTCAACACAGTGTTAAAACTTAACTTTATATATAAAGTATTCCATTAAATTTAAATTATTAACTATTACCAGACCATAATGAAGTTAAAGTAGGTAAAGGTAAGGCCCATTTGGGGTTGGGTAATAAAGGAAAGTTCCAGAAAAGAGGAAAAAAACCTCCTAATTTCAAAGTCTCCCTCAAAAGACATAAAATGAAGATTTGTTAAGTATGGGACACTATCTCGCTAGTGCTTAGTACAGTGCCTACTAAACAGAAAGCTATCTATAAACATTTGCTAGCTTGTCGAGGGCACCGGGAATCTTTCTAGTGACTCAGGGTGAAAGCCTTTGGGCCCTCTGAGCAGGTGGGCAGTGACACTTCCCAATGTCCATTCATTTTTATTCGTCTCAACTCAGAATGTCCCTTCATCCCCGGTGGAAATCCCGCATCCTTCAGAAACTGACCAAGCTTTCTTCCTTTGCAAAGCCTTTCCCAGTTACCACAGTATTAGCTCCCATTACATGTTCTGAAAGCACTGTAAATTTCTCTCCAGAGGATTTACTAGGGTTTGTAATCAGTGTTTCTGTAATTACTTTAATACACCTGCTTCTTCCACTCGACCGTATTTCCAGCTCTTAGGAAACCGCCTGGCACGGAAGAGGCATTGAGTTACATGTGTTTCGTTGGAAACTTGTTATATTACCGGTAAAGATAAACCCATATAAAAAACTTGCCTCTGCACGGATACCACAAAGGACTGGGCATTTCTGAGAAATGCGGTGGGATGTTCTAGAAACATCTCAAATTCTATGAGCTATGCGTCTGACCTTAAAAAAAACCGAAAATAAACATTTTTTTTTTTAATGTCTGCAGGTCTAACTCCGGCTGCCAGATTGTGAGTCCTGAGGTGACCCCGGGGTTTTGATGGGGCGGTAGGGGCGGGGATCAGCCTCTTGCAGAGCCGGCCTCCACTCGGGCCTGGCCCGGGAAGCCACGTAGGGCTTCGCAGACGTCGCGGGCTGCGGATAGTCAGTCCCCAGCGCAGCTTCACCTGGTCAGTTCTAGTAGCCAGGGACTTGTCGGCCAGGATGCTCTCCTTCAGCTCCTCCAGCTTCCCGCTGTAGGCCAAGTTGCAGACCATTAGGTTAGACACACACCCCTCCATTTCGCTTTCCCAGGAGCTCCGTGAAGCACGAGCAACGTCAGCCTCAGGTCGGCCACTGGGGCTGCCAGTCAAAAGAGCCGGTAGAGCTCCACCAACCACCGCCTGCCCTCGCTTCCTTGTTTCTTTTCCCACCGCGCGGCGCCTCTGGGAGTTGCAGTTCCAGGGCGGTTCCGGCCGGGGAGAGGCCTTCGCCGCCCTCACCAACTCGGACCCCTGGCGGCACGGAACTACAAGTCCCAGGGTCCCTTGCGACCGCCGTAGTCAAGTTGCCGGTGGAATTGGCCCAGGATGACAGCTGGAGAATGGAGTCAGGTACGGGGAGCGGCTTCGTGTGGAACCCGGTGAAAGAACCGGGGCGGGTGGTCGCTGTTGGGTCATTAACTTGGACACACGAGACGGGGGCGGGGGATAGGGCGAGAGGGTTGTGAGAGTCTAAAGGTCTTGCCGCCCGGGGGCCCTGATCTGAAGTGGCAGGCGGAAGGGACAGTGGTTGGAGCA